ACACACCATGCGGGGGGGGGGGGTCTGTGGTAGAAGATCAGGACATATCACTTTGTCTTGCTTTGAGCAGAGGCTGGTAGTAAAACTCAGACATAAACTTCTTAAATTAACGTTTTAATTGTCTTTTTCTTCTGTCTTTTCTCTGCTGCTTGTCTTCTCTCTCATCAAAAGACCGGAAGTACCGTGGAAACAGTAGTTCCGACAAAATAAAACTTATGGGACTAATTGTATTCAAAACAAAACTATATCAATATACAAAAACAAATACAAAACACATAAAAAACCAACAAAATGTGTAACTTCAGCAACACAATGTCCTCCACAGGATGCACAGAAAACTGCACAGACCCCAGGACAGCAGCTACAGCAGTTGTTTTGGATCATTTCCATCTGTTTGCAGATGTTTACATCTGTCCCTGGTCGTTTAGCGCCTCTTTTTGTTCATTCCGTGTGGCTTTGTGGGGCCCTGAACACCTTGGTCCCCTGAGTAATCATCCATGTACTTAAAGTAGGGGTTTGATGGGTTTTCTTCTGTAATAATAACGATAACAGTGAGGTCTAGACCTGACTTTGTAAAGTGTCCTGACATGACTTTGGTTGTGATTTGGTGCCATACAAATGAAACTGAATTGAACTGAAGGTTGGTACTGAAGTCGGTGTCCACGTCCGTTCATTTAGTGTCTAACAAAGCCACTGGAATCTGCTGCTGTCTTTGTGCCTCCTTGGTACCAAATGGCTTCAGCAACTGCAGCTAAGTTTGTCATGTCAAATAAAGAATGGCCTTTGTGAAACTACAACAAATGTTCACTAATGCTACTTTTTATAACATCTTAAAGTTAGCAGTATGATGTAGTCAGTGTGTTCTGGGCTTTAAAGGTCTTTTTTAACATAGAAAACACTTTTAAATAAACAAGATTTCATTTGAAATTAAAAGGAAAACACTATATTTAAATTATAGGAAGTTACTGTATTTTAGAAGATGGTTAATTTCTGGAATTTTATGACATTCTCGTGTCCAAGCTGCCAGAATATTAGTTGTTTCGTTTCTTTTTATAGTGTAGGACAGGGAAGAGGAAGGCTTTCTGTTCTGTTTGTGTGTGTGTGTGTGTGTGTGTGTGTGTTTTCAAGTGTTTTGCACAAACTGTGCTTTTTCAGGAGATGTGTAATGTTTTTCTGGTTTGGTGTAAGGTGTCGTGGTCGGTGTGTAGAGTGCCTCAGCACTCAGAGTAAAGTGTTACATGCTGTTTCACCTTGTGCTGACTAATCGTGTGTGTGTGTGTGTGTGTGTGTGTGTGTGCTTCTAAAATAAAGCGATGCCTTGTTCTTCCTGCAGAAGCCAAATGTTTCAAGCTGATATTAGATAAGGCCGAAGCAACGTGCCTGGGAATGGAGGCCCTACCTGAAGGTCCGAGATTACACAGTGTGCAAAGCTGTTGTTTTCATTACGCCTCCACTCCCCTGAGAAAACACCGGGGTGAACTGTGTCATGCCACCTATGTGAAGACAAACAGGGATGGACGGTAGCTACACCTGGAGACTGTTTGGAGAAGAGCTGTCAGGAAGAACACTTTAAAAATATTTACATTCATGAGCTCATTGTTCTGGTATCAGAGTGAACACATGACCTGAGCTTTGATTTCTGCCTCGTCATGTTTCAGAACACATCTGCTTGGTCATGCCAAGCCTGGCGGAGCGAGCGGCCGCAGTCAGCACTCACACTTCCAGTCTGACTCAGCAGCTGCAGCACAGCTGTATAAAAGCAGCCGTACCGTCCTGGCCGCTCAGAGGGAGTGACCACCAGCAACAGGAGAGGAGACTTCACTCTGTCACAGGTGAACTGAGCTGGGTACATGCACCATTCCAGGCCTTTTCATTCCTGATTCCACTCTGCAGATGGAGAACATGAAGAGCGCAAGAAAAAACGACACAGGAGAAGTTGGCAGGTATGTTAGCATCTGTTTAAAGCAGCTCACTGTGCATTTTCAGGTCAGGACCTTCATAAGTTGCTTGTGTGTTTGCCCTCAGTGATTTGTCGGAGCAGATTAAAGCAGCCACTAAGAACAACCATGTCCGAGCTGAGAACACACAGCTGATGCTGAGTTACCAGAAGGGACAGATCACCATGACGGAGTACAAGGTGCCTTCCACACACTGACACACACAGGTGTGGGTCCACCACGTCACACCTGAGGAGTGTTTCCATAACGTCAAGAGGTGGCTGCGTGTAAAATAGTGTTTGATCTGTTTTTCTGTCGTTAGCGTGACACATCAGCTTAGAAACGTGACTTCCCTGATGCTTTAATGTGAGTTAACGGTGGTGGACTCAGCAAAGGGCACCCGATACATTCAGTCAGCAGATTAGATTATTACTTTATGGTGGCCTACTTAGAGATCACATTCATCTAATGAGTATTTTACTCAGTTGTAAGGGCATCTTATGGACAGATTATGGGAAAATGGGCCCCTGCCCCTCTAACATATAGGACCGTCATTTGGTGTAACTTTAAAGTCGTTCTGTTCCTCTTCATCATAGTCTTACATCTCATTTTGATAGCTCCTCCTGTTGTCTGTCTTTATGGTCATTTTGGTCTCTCTTCACGTGTCTTTGAGGTCACTTTAAGCCTGTTTGTGGTTGTTTTGCATCCATTTGTAGTCTTAAGACTTCCAAAGAAGGAATATAGATACCAGCCCTGGGCCTCATGACCTCTTGGGCTCCTCCATCCATGCTTAGGACACAGCATCTCATGTTCTTCACTGGAAGGGAACTCCACAGTGAGTTTCTCCCATACAGTGCAGCCTACAGGGCTTTTCTGGACTTCAGCGCGTTGGACTTAAGGACGCCTTAAATGGCCCTTTTTCCATTAGAAACCATACAGAACCTCCAGCTCAGCTACAGCTACTCACAGGACGCTGCATTACACCTTCTTCATTTAAAGGGCACTGTAGTTCTTGCTTGTGGTGGTACTTTACAGGCATTATCACATTTTCTCCCAGGTGGGCCCTTCATTCCAGATCACATGTGGAGGCATTCACGGGCACGTCCTTATCGACTCATAACCAGTACGGCCATTACAGAACGTTGCTATGTTTGTGCAAACACCACAGAGCGCACCTTATCGTGTGTTTGCTTTACTATGCAGGCTTGTTGCTGAGTGCACCAGTGAGCGTTAACTAAACATGGGCTGAAGTTATTGAGGATAAAATTGTTTTATAGCTTTTGAACATGTGGGCGAAAAGTTTTGGTCTATAGTTTACAGATCTTCTAAATGTTTTAATGGTGTAATTCTTTTACTATTGGTTTTAGGGAAGAGGTCATCAGTAAGCCCACGTGGGGCTTCTCCCCCTGTACATTCATAACTGTTTAATCATTGTCGTTATGTTTATGCAAATAAATACTTGCAAGTCAAATTCCAGCCAGAACAGCTCCACCTAAGTCCTATAGTGGTCTGAAAACGAAAGCCAGACATATGAACCCTGTGAAGCACAGGTGGCTGCAGTAAAGCCAGATGTGTGTCTCATGGTTTGTGTGATGGAATCCTCCTGTGCTGATGAACAGTTGGACTCTGAGCTTGATCTAAATGTCCACAACAGGCCTAAAAGAAAGACGTCACACCTGTGTATTTGTGTGCATCTGCCAGGTGCTGCTGTGTTCCCTCTATGAGATCTACCAGGCTCTGGAGGAGGAGCTGGACACAAACGCTTCCCATCCAGCGGTCGCACCCATCTACTTCCCTCAGGAGCTCGCCCGCGTCAATTCACTGCAAAGTGATAGGGAGCATTTCTTTGGCTCCGACTGGAGGAAGAAGGTGATCGTTCCTGCAGCCACACACAGATACACACAGAGGATACGACAGGTGAGCAGCTACACCGCTGTCAAACGATCCCTACATCCAGACAGTCAAACCAACAAGACGTCTTTTACAGATTGGCCGGGAGAACCCCATGCTGCTGGTGTCCCACGCATACACCCGTTACCTTGGCGACCTGTCAGGGGGGCAGGTGTTGGGAAAGATTACCCAGAAGTCTCTGGGGCTGAGCAGCAAAGAGGGGATTTCATTTTTCTCCTTCCCTGGCGTGAGCAGCCCCAACCGCTTCAAGCAGCTGTACAGGAGCCGCATGAACAGCATCGAGCTGACGGAGCAGGAGAGGGCGGAGGTGCTGGAGGAGGCGGTGTCGGCCTTCGAGTTCAACATCCAGGTGAGAACAGAGTGAACAGGACTAGGGGGCGCTGTTTGCCCAGTGTTTTGGTCTGTACTGGACTCTGGAGGGTCCTGGTTCTGTGTGAACCATTCAGGGTGCTCACAGCACTGCAGCAGCTGCCTGTCACTTTGTGGCGAGGTAACACACACACACACACACACACACAGTCTCTCTACATTGCACAGCTCATTTGTGCTGAAAGCTCCACACCACGTTCACCAGAGTCCAGTGAACCAAACTTTAATCCAGTATCATTAGGCTGCATGTTGTACTTGTTTCACAAACTGCTGATTATCCTCACGTCACTGTTCTGTCCACCCCCCCCGACATGGTCCATAACTGTGGTTTCTCTCATGACCTTTTGGGTCGAGTGACCTTTCTGCAGAGACTAAAACAAAGGGAGTGACGCTGACAGCAGCAGGAGGAGGAAGTGAATCCAACACATGCACAACAAGCTGCCAACTTGCTGATAGTTTTTAAATTTTGTTTTCCTGCAGGTTTTTGATGATCTGCAGAAAATGCTGAGCGTCACAGCAGAAGCAGTGGACCAATCAAAGAGCCGCACTGTCAACTTCCCCTCTTCTCCCATCATGCACTTCACTATGGGGCTGTGCGTCGCCGTCGCCACCATTGGGATGGGAATCTACCTCATGTAGTTTTAGCAGCACTTTAAGTTTTTAGCTCAACATGTCATTTAAACAATATTCCACTGTAAAAACTGTCCAATCACAAACTTATTGATTTCAAATGCTTTTTATTTTTACACTATGCAGACAGTCATACTTATACAAAACATCATGACCAGTGAATCCAGGGTCAACTGAGTCAATCCAGGTTTGAAGTGAACAGGTTTCACCACGACGCAGATCATCAGAAGTTCTGACTGGTCCACTGTCAAATGCAGAAGCAAACTATTTACACCAACATGGCCGTGTGGCAGAGCGGGTTACTTGACTCTGTAGAGGACTTTTCTTTGCATGCGGTGCTGAAGCTCGCCCCTCCTCAACATCAGGTGCAGGACTTTGTAGATGGCGTGCTCAGGATACTTCTGCAGAAGGAAGAACACCGAGGTCGTGTTTCATTCAAATCAGGAAAAGAAAAAACTGATCAGAATCTGGTTTAAGGGAACCAAAAGAGAAAAACCATCAGTTATTTTAGTCTGAATCAAAAGGGAAATGTTTTCATTATGTGTTTATCAAATCCACAAAATGAGTCTGATTTTATGCTTTGATTCTCCTTCACTGTGCAAATGACGACTAGACACGTCAACTGTTTCTCTCATGTTCCTGACAAACAACGTTCTTCCTCTGATTCTGTAGCTGCTTGTTGATAATCAGTTCATTGTTTACTCCTGATCACCTGATTAAACAAAGGCAGTAAATCAAATAAACTCTTGATGCAAGACGAGTTCCTCCTGTGTTACATGAGTCAAGTGTCATTTACTGGTGGTAAATGTGAAACCACTTTCATTTAATAATGAAGAGCAGCTGCACTGAAACAAACACTTTAAAGTGAGTTTTCATGAGCAATGAGAGAGAGAGAGAGCGCAGAATCCTGCCTCATGTCGACGCCATGGAACAGGGAAGATGACAAACATCTGGACCTGCTGTGACTCGCTCACACCGACCTGTTTGGTGAAGTCCTGCACTATGCTGTGCTCCGACACCTGGGAGCCGATGGCGAAGCGTCTCTTCAGCTGCTTCTCGACGCGTGAGATCATCTCCTGGTCCTCCTGAGATGTGAAGCCCTCCACTCCTAGATGCACAATGAGGTCAGACAGATGTTACAAGCACGAAACAGCCGTGTACGGTTGAAAGATGAGCTTAACGAGATTCCCTCCCAGCCTGGTCAGATGAACTCTCCAAAATATCGTGCTCCAAATGTGCATGTGCCTCAACACTGTCAGTTAAGATGTTGTTAGAGTAGTTTCCACTTGTTTTCAACAAGCATTAGCCAACACGTCCAACCATCGGTCCATTACTGTGAGCTCTGACTCTGCAGCTTTGCCAACTAATGATCCGTCACGACTTGTACATGTAAAAACTCTCTGGGTTCAATTTGTTTGGTGTTTTCTTCAGTGAGTCGAGCTACTGGCTGGACGAGGTGTTGTAGATTGCCAAGTACATAAGGTAGCTATGAACACTACACTAGCAGCAGTTACTCATGTTTGTGCAGTCTCTCTCACACACACACACACACACACACACACCTGACAGGCTGCCAGACAGCGCAGCATCCAGCGTGGACACCTGGAAGAGTCTGAGGGCCTCGTCGACCTCCTCCTCTCCAGCCACAACCTGCAGCTTCATCTTGGCCAGGGACTCTGCGATTCGCACAATGGCCTCCAGCTGCCTGAAAACCACACACAGGAGCCAAAGTGTCAGAGGACGAGCGATACATCATCACTGTGTGGACGTCAAGATGGAGAAACGCTCATAGAACAGATGGAAGCTGGAAACAGACCTGACTCCGTTTTAAAACCTCCATTCTCTGGTAGAGGAGTTACCTGACAGTGATGGGGATGGAGGCTCTTTTGTCTGTCTCTCTCTCATGCTCTCGCGCTCCACTTCTCATCACCACGTATCGGTTCTTCAGCTTCTCAGCTGCTGCCGCAGACAGACGGGGGCCGCATTTACTGCAAGCACACAACCAGACCAAAGCACACTGTGAGTGGAGCGCACCGTGTGTAGCTGTCATATGGTCACAGACATTCAGGCCGACTCACGCTCTGGCGTAGGCGATGTATTTCTTAAAGGTTGCCAGTGGAATCTCGCCCTCGACGCCCTCGGTCTGAGTCTGAGCACTCAGGTGAACGTTCATCACGTGACGGGCCAGAGTCTGCAAACACACCACAACGTTACACATGTAAATACTGCCAAGTCTGCAAACACACCACAACGTTACACTCGGTGTCTGATGACCCAAGGAGCTTTTAAACCTCTATTACAACCGTCAAGGTCAACTTTGAGACATGACAGGAAGACAAGCAAAGTAGTGAGGAAAATGGTTCCAAGATTTTATAGGACACTGAAATATGGTTTCAATAAAGACTGAGCAAGTAAAAACAAAACCAAACCAAATGTAAATACTGCCGTCTCTGAAACAGCAAGACGACTTCTGCTGGTTTCCACACACGCTCAGCAGCCTTCAGGTGTTCCACCTGGCTCAACCCGTGGGTCAGATTAGTTTTTCTACTAGTTAAACTACAACACCACACTAACTATTAAGGACCCGACTTTACAAACAGTATCTGCTGTGAGGAGCAGCCTCCTCACCATGTCTCTCTGCTGGTCGTGCTGGTCTTTGATGATGAAGATCATGTCAAATCGGGACAAGATGGTGGGCATGAAGTCGATGTTGTCCTCCCCCTTTGTCTCGTCCCAGCGACCGAACACAGAGTTGGCCGCAGCCAGAACTGAGCAGCGGGAGTTCAGGGTGGTGGTGATGCCGGCCTGGGATGAGTCAGGACATTAGTTAGTCCCCTCAGGGCGGTGAGTGTGTCAGTGCTGTGTAACATGGAGGACTAGGTGATACCTTAGCGATGGAGATGGTCTGCTGCTCCATGGCCTCGTGGATGGCCACCCGGTCGTCCTCTCTCATCTGGACAACACAAGCAGAGTTCTTGCTTTAATCCTGGGCCAGGAACCAAGTGAAACAGCTCCTGCTGCTGGAAATCCTCTTACCTTGTCAAACTCGTCGATGCACACGACGCCACCATCGGCCAGCACCATGGCCCCTCCTTCCATGATGAACCCACGAGTGGCGGGGTCCCTCAGCACCGAGGCAGTCAGACCAGCTGCACTGCTGCCCTTACCAGAGGTGTAGACCTGACGGCACAGGAGTACGGATTCAGTTTTAAAGTTTCTTTCATCTTGCACCACTGGAAGCAGTTGTGTCTTTTTATCGTGCGATTTCATTTCAGTCGTGTTGTACAACACTGCACCCTGAGCCTTAAAGTACCACCACCACTCATGATAACAAAGCCCCAGCAGCCCGGAGAAGGATAACTACCCCGATAGGTGAGCATCTCTCCACGAACTTCAGCAGCTGGGACTTTGCTGTACCCGGATCTCCGAGCATCAGCAGATTGATGTCCCCCCTACGAGTGAGACCATCCGGCAGCCTGAAGGACAGGACATAGCAGTGTGAGCAGGTCAGGAGAAGTGGGACAGTGAATAGAAAATATTGCTTTTGTAGGCTCACCTCTTCCTCGAACCTCCGAACAACAGACAGGTAATGGCCTTTTTCAAGTCATCACTGCCGTAGATGGAGGGGGCGATGGAATGCGCCAGGGACTCGTACACGTTAGGAGAGGCCGCCAGAGCTCTCAGCTCCTCCTCCTCCTGTGGAGACACTGATCCAGTCGCACCACGGCCTGAAACAGACAACACGTTAACACACCTGACTGGGGAGGAGGACTCCGCTACTCCACGCAGACATTCCTGTACCTGCCCCCTCTGTGTCCACCTGGATGCCGACCACTCGCAGGTAGGATGCACGAATGCCCACACCAATGCCTTTCTCTTTGCCCTTGGCCTTTGCAGCAGCCATCTTCTTGATGGAGTAGATCCCCATAATGGTCACCCTGTTGCCTGGGACCACACGGTCACACAGATACCTGAGGGGAGGAAAAGGCTTCTAGTTCATCTGCAGATTTCTCATGGAGCTTCCAGCTCACACCTGTTTGTGAAGTGAAAACCTGGAAGTGTGCGTGACAGTCGAATGATGCAGTGTTGACATCACTGGCCCTGGACTTTGTGTCATGTTTACCGGTCACAGTAGAGCTGCAGGTGACGGGGCATCTCTCCGTGAGGCACAGCATCCGGAGCCTCCTGCAGGCGCAGCGTCTGGAAGTCCACACAGACGCAGCGATCCGGGATGATGAAGTAGGGGTCCACAGGACACTTCACCCTGCCGGCGTCCTCACTGACGACACAGAGCAATTGCTGGGTGTAATGCTGTGTGCACAGTTGGAGCCATTTGTGCAGACACTGGATGCTGGTCGTACTCACGTGTTGCACTTGCGTGGCAGAGCGTAGCCCTGCAGGCCTGGAGGCAGAGGGATGTTGCTGATGACAGCTCGACAGCCGCGACACTGCAGACACACCTTGGTGGCCTTCGCCCTCACCGCTGTGGCTGAGATGATGATGCCGTGCACCTTCACCAGGCGGGACACCTGCTCTGACTGCGGGGTGGGGAGAAATGTGAGTGGTTTCCAGCTTTTCAAATGTTTCAAGTCCCCTCCTGCTTCGGCCGCCTTTAGTGAAATAAGCATGAGGTTATTGGTACCTTGAGGCTGCGAATGGAAGCCTGGTGGGCGTCACTCTTCAGCATGACCTGGATGTCCTGCACCTCCTCCTCCCCCACAGGCCGAGGTCGGGTCACCTCATCAGCTACTTCTTTTGCAGATTCCTCCAGCTGTGGATTAAACCAGACTGTTAGAAGAAGAGCACAGGTGCTGTGTGAAGGTTCAGTTAAAGATGCAGGCGAATGCCATCACCAGGGGCAGGTTCTCAGTGGGCAGCTTGTACAGACAGTCCGACAGGTCCTCGTCAAAGCTGGCGAGGTCCTCCATCTCCACCTCCACCCAGTACTCGCGCAGGGTGTAGTGTCTCTTCAGCTCATCTCTGAATGAAAGGACAAAACATGAACAACGAACAGTCAAGAATCAACTGGATCACACAAACAGGAAGTTAAGCGATCAAATATCCCAGGCAAAAAAAGCCTTGTAAATTAGACTAGTTCCAGGTGAGCAAGGACAGAGGACGTCCCAAAAAGGTTATATCTGATCTGAGGAGAGAGGAGCCATGATGGAGGAGCCATGAGCGCATCCTTCACAGAATTCTTTCATAGACAGACACACTCCCTTCACCGGATGTCAGCTGGTAACTGGACGGTTCAGCTGAAAAGAAAGGACGTCTCTTGTCTCTACAAAGGTGTCCACATACCTCACATGGGCAGGACCAGGACAAGGGAAAGACACAGGAGAGGGAAACAAGGATGCAGATGAGAGACTTTAGGTGTACCCTGTGTCGGCCATCTTGGATGTTGGGGTTTGCCTACAGTCTGGTGAGTAACAGCAGCCAAACCCAGACATTTACCAGGACCTGGATTCTACACAGCTGCACACAAGGATTTTCAAAATCCACTCTTTAGCAGGTTTTATGTTAAAAATAAACACTGACTTGTAATAAAGTCAATACTCAGAAGCAGCAGTACCACACTGTGGAAACCCTCCACTACAGGAATAAGTCATGGATTTAAAACCTTAAGTAGAAAAGTAAAAGTACTTGGAGGATGAGAAGTAATCCCACCCTGTCAGTTTCTGGGTGAAACAAACTGCTGCCTTGACGTGTATGGTTCATATCCTTTAAGACGGGGAGGTGTGTTTGGTTTATTTAGCTGAAGGAGAACCGGCTCGTCTCATTCTTGGGTTTATCACATTCACATTCGACACCAACATGGAGCCGTGTGCGTTTCTCTGGACACGTTAACCAGCAGCTCCTACTGGCACGTAACATGGAAGCTTGGTGGATCTACTTCGTTTAGTTAACGATGACAACTCTCACGGTTTCATTACCTGTATTTGTACGTGAAGCCGGTTCGGTCGGTCCCCACTCGGAACTGCCGGAGGAACTCACGGAACCGTCTCTTGATTTGGATCCGCTTCTGTCCGCCTTCATCCGCGCCGGATCCGTCTGCACCCCCGAAACTGTCGCTGTAGTACACCCCCGGGTCGTCGAAGCCAGACATCTTGAACCAGGTCCGTCACCACAACAGCACCGACTGAAAGAAGACTGGAACCGTGGACGGACGTTTCTTATTCTAAAGGAAAACCCCGTTACTGAAAACTACCGAGGACGAGGTTGGTCTCGGTGTTTCGCGGCAAAAACTAAACTACTTCCTGTCAGTTTCCCGCGACTCATCGTTATGTTAACACCCCGCTTCTGTCCTGTGATTGGCTGAAGACAAAAACAGCCAGTTGCTATTGTTCGGGGGTGTGGCCTCCACGATGTAGGTGGAGTTTTGATGGCTCCGTGGCGCGAAAAACACAACAGCAGGAAGGAACGTGAGTGTCGGAAACAGTCTGTCGCAAAGAAGCGTCAATAAAACGTGACAATTCTTTACAAGTTCAAGGGAATTCATTATAAATACGCTGTTTTATTAAGGGAATCTTGGCTCCTGACGATGTGTTTTTCTGTATTTATAATGTTAGAATAAAATAATACTCAACTAGATAAGTTTTCGATGCTTCTTCATTATTTGTTCTAAAATGACTGAAGTTGATTCTGGCTACAGGCTGTATTTATGAAATTCTCCTACATGACCATTGTCTTAAGATTTAAACAGAATCCACTCCAGACATGACTTAAGGAAGAAGTAGAATAGAAGTAGAGTAGTATCACTCATTCAAAGTAGAAATACCACACAATAACAATAAAAGTTTGTATTCAAAATGTTAAGTAGCCGAAGAAAAAGCACAAAAGGCAAAAATAACAGAGGTCATCGTGCAGAACGGCCCGTGTCCCAGTAACGTCTCTGATACTGGATCATAGTGACTAATTACTGTGTCCATCACTTTAATGCTGCAGCTGGTAAAGGTGGAGCTGATGGTAACTACCTTATATACTTACTGGGATCAATAGAGTCTGATGGTTCTACTGGTTTTGGTTTGATTCATCTGATTCTGGAAAGGAACTAAAGTTGTCAAATATATGCAGTGCAGTAAAAAGTACAAGGTTTGGTTCTGACCTGTAGTGAAGTCACAGAGTCCCGCTCCCTGGTTGGGCTTTTACATCCAATTACCCAATAAACAAAATCTGAAAAAGTAAAAACAGGACAGACAAAACAACCACGCCCATACCTGTGCTGTATACAAATGTGCACACACTGAACATGAGAGACATGTCACCACTGACAGTGTATGGACGTGAACCTGTGAGCGCAGAATGTACAAAACAACCAAAGCTCTTCAACGTTCACATCTTTGTTCTGTTTTTAAAATGTCACCTATTAAATGTCAGGAAACGTAGATGTCCTACTTCACTGTAAAGTCCATCCTCAGTGCACATGACCTGGAGGCCTCAGACTTTAACATTACTCCTGGAAGAGATTTAAGACACCTAAGACACCTTCCACCTTTAGCAGGTGAACATGTGTCCACCTCTGTACAGACGTCTTTCTGCACAATGACGCACAAACATCCAAGTGACGTAGCATCAAGCAAAACATCTTTTTAACGGCATGAACTTTAATATTTTAACTTTAATGTGTTCCATGTGTAGAATCTGTAGGTTTGCAGTTAGCATCATATCAAATGTGACCTCTGGCTCCTCAATCCTGTTAAAAACACACAATGTCAAATTTAGCAGATGTTGGGAAGAGAATGTTTTGTTTACTTGTGAGTATAAACGAAGAGTCCTGGTTCTTTCAGTAGATTTGAAGAATGAGTTGAAAGTTGATTCGACAAATGCTGATATCACAATATGACCAGTACTGAATCCTCACAGTCATCAAAACATGAGTGTTAAAACAACTAATCCTAAATAAACTACCATCAGGAGAAACGATGATTAATAGAAAAATTCTCTCTCATTAAAATGAATGTGAATTGAACAGCCCTTTTTTCTTTACAACGCAAACACCTGCACGTTTCTAAATGACTTTATTCAGCCAAACACACACGCAGGTATCATTAAACTGTGTTGACCTACAAACGTAACCACTATTCCCTGAACAACGCGCAGTTCAAGCTCCTGCAGTGTTCAGGAGATGACTTCGTGCGTCCTGCCCGTCTGGATGAAGGCGTCCACACAGCGGTCGATGTCTTCGTCAGTGTGCGCGGCTGAAATCTGAACTCGGATTCTGGCTTTGCCCTTTGGTACGACTGGGTAGGAGAATCCAATCACGTACACGCCTGTGGAGGGAAAGAAGCAGTTAGCACTGGAACGGGTCGTGTGGCTGCTGCTCTCAGCCAAAGTCACCGGACATCTGTTCTGGTGACTTGTCATTCTTAAGGTGATATAATCATCCTCTAGAAGTCAATTTGGCAACTATAATGTCTGAAGTTTGCAGGTTGTGGCTTCTCAAATATGACGATTTGATGCTTTACATTTACCTGATCTTTAAATTAAGACTGACTGTTAGTAGCAGGTGTGATGCATTCAACATAAAACATGCCAGTGGATCAGGTTCTCTCCGCTGCCTCACCGAGCTTCAGCATGTCGTCGGCCATGAGAGAGGCCAGCCGGGCGTCGCCCAGCATCACAGGACAGATGGGGTGAGCCGAGCCTGCGATGGTGAAGCCTGCCTGTGTCATCTTGTTCCTGAACCTGAACAGACAGAGGAAAAACTCAGTCGTCATCACAGGAGGGTCAGAGCTCAGGCTGCAGACGCAGAGGAAGGACTCCTGCTCTTTTCACACTGAGGTAAGGATTTGCTTAATGGAATCAGTTACAGGTGCCTCAAAATAGACGGTGCAGGAGTTTGTTTTGCGGTTTGCATGTGCTCTTTCATGAGTGCACAGTCCTTCAGCTTTCTTTGTTCAAAAACGAGTTCACAGCTGCATAGCGTGGCCTGAAGGCTGCACGTGGGTTTGACTGAACAAGGTTAAGAAACAAGATGTTAAATGAATTTATTCCCTGTTCACATTTAGATCAACTGGTTGGTTGAAGAATGAGATTTACAGTTTTTCTTTTTTTCCATTTGACCAAGAAAAACCATGATGTTACATGTTCAAATGAGCAGCTTCTACAGAAACTCGACCATAACTTGATGTGAACACTTTCAGTTTGTTTGTTTCAGTACCGTTATGTGAACTGTAGCAGTTAGTTTTTCAGCCGGTGCCATTAAAGCACTGCAGAAGAAGAGGCCAGTTTCATGTGTTAAGAAGGTCACAGCCTCCTCCTCGCTCCACACATCTGTTTGGTTCTGCTGTCGTTTTTCAGCCCTTCACTGACATTTACCTCATATGACTTGTGCACGTCAGGATTAAGTGTGTCTGCTGGTGAACGCCTGTGTTTTAGCAGATAACCCCGCCCGTCGTTTAGAACAAACGCACCTCATGGTTTTGGCCGCCATGCTCTGTGCAATCTCACTGGAGGCGAGCAGCAGCTCCACAGCCCGGGTGGCACAGCCCACCACAGGAGGGGGGAGGGAGTTGGAGAACAGGTACGGCCGTGAGCGCTGCCGCAGCAGGTCAATCAGAGGTTTGGGCCCAACTGTGTAGCCACCTGGCAGACAAACAGGCAGAGAGACACAGGAAGACTGATTTAATATGGGAGTTACAGCTTGTGTATTAATACTAAAACCACAGGAGGAGCTCTGCCCACTCACACATCGGACTGATAAACGTAACAGCTGGTGGCAAGTGGAAGGAGCCTCCTGACCAACTATGCAGAGACCCAACCAGCAGGACCACTGATCAATCAGCTGATCATCGTCCTGATGATCTGATTGATCTGTTTGTCCCCAGAATGTCAGACACTGGGAAAAAGTCCCACAGTGACTCTCCAGAGCCAAAGGTGGCGTCTCCACACGTCTCATTGTGTCCGATCCACAGAGACTCAGCTGATTCTCATGTCTGACAAAGAAAAGCATCAGCTCCTCACATTAAAGAAGGTGGAACCAGAACATGTACCCTCAAACAGAGGAGACCTGGCAAGGCTCTGGAGACTCTGCTGGGGATTGGGTGGGGGTTTGTCACCTTTCATCTGTCACCCAGCTGTACAGCCAGGAACTGGTTAGCCTAGCTTAGCACATAGACTGGAAACAGAGGGACACAGCTAGCCTGGCTCGGTGACGTTTACAGCCCAGACTATTCACTGGCTGGGAACAGCATCATGAAGCCAGATGGAGTTTTTTATTGTGCTGTAGCTCACAGATTCATGCTTTGTTCTCTCTTGCCATGGTAAACCCACCGTATACCACCTGCTAGCTGGTAAGTAAAGCTGAACATCTATTAAACTGCAGAGCCCAGTTGGGAGGTAGCCAGGATTCCTCCTCCTGGTGGCTGATAAATGTCGACAGTGTAAATAGGCAGGTTTGCCATAACATTCCTGTCAAATGGTAACAGGCCTGGTGCTGTGGAAGACGTACCTGCTGCTCCTCCCAGTGCCTTCCCCAGGGTGGAGTTGACAATGTGAACTCTGTCCATCACCCCCAGGAGTTCGTCGGTGCCTCTGCAAACCACAATCCATGTTCAAGATTTTTTTCTGTACTAGCAATTATCTTGTTCTTACATTAAAATTGTAAACTAATCAGAATTCTTTGGAATCTCTTATTGAATCTGTAGCAGTTTGTGAACAACTTATCTAAAGGTTCATTTGGCTGTGGAGCGTTAGCGATCCAGGTGTTTTACCAACTGGAAACCAGATCCACAGCAGAAGCAGGTATCAGAACCCATCCACTGTATTCAGTGCAGTTTAAAGTCCAAAAAGGACAGGATGTTAATAACAGTCCACCAGATAACGCACCAGGTCTTAGAAACATGGCGGGCTGAGGTGAACAGAGCGCGGCGTTACATGTTACAGAATGGAACAGGTAGAACACGTCAATCAATAAAAAGAAGCTTTGTTTCTTTGTATTTCAGGTAAATCGACATCTTACTCACCTGCCTCGGGGCCCCAGGAAGCCAGTGGCGTGGCACTCGTCTATGAACACCATGGCCCCATACTGCTCAGCCAGGTCACAGATTCCCTGTAAAGGGGCCACGTCTCCATCCATGGAAAAGACTCCGTCTGTCACGATGAGGCGCAGTCGGGACGCCTGAGGCAGACAGCTCAGAGTCACATGATACTGTGCTAAAGCTACAGACAGACTTTGACACAATGGGGCCCTGGGCATAGACGTGTAACCCTCCAGGGGCCCCCTGACCTCATAGACCACTGGGCCTGTACCTGGTCAGTTATCCATCCATGGCTAAAGGGCAGAGTCAGAGTAGAGACACAGTCCATGCAAACCTCTAACCCGTCTGAGTATCTGATCAGTACTCTGACTCATCTGTCATATTAAGACGTTGTACTAGGAGCATAAGCATGAATGAGATGCACAGTAGTGATGCTCGTTTCCTACACACCTGAGCCTCTTTCAGCTTGTTCTCCAGGTCCCCAAGGTCCATGTGTTTGTATCGCAGTCTCTGTGCTCGACACAGACGGATCCCGTCGATGATGGAGGCATGGTTCAGCTCGTCAGACAGCACCGCGTCCTCTGGGCCCAACAGCACCTGGTGTCCCAGTAACATCAACAAATCAAACTCTGTACAGAACTTTTCACATGCACTTCAAAGTGCTTTACAGTGAAAACTACCTGAGACTGATGCACATGGTGTGACCATAAGCCACATGTGGGCTTTAAACAGCTCCATTCATTTTACAGACAAACCCGCATGAGCCTTAAAGTTTAATTCTGAGTCAAAGACGACCCTGAGCTTTCTGGTTCCTGGGCTCTGACTGAGAGTCTAATTGTGTGGCCAGTTTCTCACCTTTGAACCGACAAATAAACTTTCAGCGTTATCCTGGCTGAGCTGTAAACAACGCTACACTTTACTGGTCGTGACAGTGGATGTTCTTGTTCCTCTCTGCTGGGGACAGTGCAGAGCATTACGAACCTCAAACAGCCCGGCGTTGGCGTCAAAGCAGCTGGCATAGAGGATGCAGTCGTCCCGCTCATGAAACTGTGCAAGTTTCTGCTCCAGCTTTTTGTGAATGTCCTGCAAACGCAGTGGGAACTCGTTAACACCCATGACGTCACTGCTGAACAGCTGCTGTGTGAGTGTGCTGGCCACCACACCTGTGTCCCACAGATGAACCGCACTGAGCTCAGTCCGGCACCGTGTGACTTCAGAGCTTCAATCCCTGCCTGCACCACCTCCGGGTGGCTGGAAAGGCCCAGGTAGTTGTTGGCACAGAAATTCAATATGCCTGAGAGAGAGAGATTTGAGATGGACAGCAGCGAAGCTAAGGTCATGGTTTCAGGCTGTAGCCATAAAACGAACAGACAATAACCTCCTCTAAAGGGAAAATCAACAACAAGGCCGACGTATCACAGCACAGAGAGGCAGCAAAACAACCCGTGGGCTGTCAGCACTGTTCACAAATCAGCAGAGTCGATCTCTGGCAAAGGTTCATCCTGAAATGGAAAACAGCAAACTGGTTTTAAAAGGACCAGAGAGCAGCACAAGTTGTCTTCCTCTTAAACACCTTATTGCTTTTAACTGCTTTCTATTTTAGTCGTTTTTGCCATTTTACCTATGGTATATTTTATTTATCCTGTGCATTAGTGTCAGATAGTTTTCTTCTGTGCAGATGATCAGTGAGCTCCAACCTGTGAGGCTGTTGTAGCTTAATCTTGGTATTACAAGCCAATTTTAATCTTGGTATTACAAGCCAATTTTAATCTTGGTATTACAAGCCAATTTTAATCTTGGTATTACAAGCCAAAGACTTTTCATTTGCTGAACTGGTTTGAATGTCACGTTTTGGGAGCGGGTTTCCCTAAAAGCTGGTGTGAAACATGCTCAGGCCCGTGTGTCAACGTCACGTGACTTCAGTTAACTGCCCTTCAGTGTTGCATCAAGACAACAGCGCGTGTGGTGCGTTTACGGACCAGCCCTACGGCTCAGGTACTTACAGTAGAGGTACAAGAAGTAGCTACTCGGATCCTTTACCAAGAAGATAGTGACAAAATACTCTGAATACAATACTCGGAGGTAAAATCCCTGCACTCAAAATGTTCGGCTACTTGTTAAAAGAAGGAAATGATTAGCATCAGAATATACTTTCAAGTAACAGAAGTCATTCCGCACAATGGCCCATTGCACGTGAATGCACGTGATATTGTCAGGTTATACTGTTGTGTCCATCACGTCAATGCTGCAGCTGATGGTAACCACCTTATATACTTGGAAGTACTCAAGTAAAGTCGTGCACCTCCTGTAGGTACAGTACTAGATGTACTTGGTTGCCACTCACTGCCACGGCTGCCGTCCACGTTGATCTGGGGACCCTGCCTTGACGTGATGATTCTCTCCGCCTTCCACGTCCCGGCGGCCCGGATCGTGTCCAGCTCCTTCTCCAGCACCGCCGCGGCTCCGGAGACGGCGGTGTATCTCCGTGTCAAGGCCGAGGCCCGCGGGATCCCCCGGGCCGCTCCCACCAAAGTTCGGCCAGCTGTTCCGAGAGACATGACAGTAAAACGCGCTGATCAGGGTGAAACGCCTGGTCGTTTAACAAGAGTGGGCGTGTAGGCGTGTGTACGGCGGACCAATGAAATGCCAGCATGCTTCACGGGTGTCCAATCAGATTTCAGAGTATTTACTCACTTGTCCACATTCACTAGAAGTGATGTAAAATATTGTTAACGTCTTTTTAACACTTTATCATGACGAAACAACACGTCTCATTATTTTCACATGTCGGTTTACAAAGGCCCTTTGTGAAGGGAACAGCACTGTTTCTACTTCTTATGTCTTTATACACTGTCAGTTATTTTATCACACTAATCTCATTTATCTGCCTCATTCTAGTTCTTGGTGTCACCCTCCTGCTTTGAACCATATAAGGCACTTTGTAATTTAGTTTGGAAAACGGTTGTATGTTATTATTATTATTATTATTATTATGTCAGGCAGGAACCAAAAATTCCTCATTTCACTCAAACTCAAAGGACTGTCTCAGGTGACTGACCAGGTCTATGACTGTGGCTCTTAATATTCACACACATGACGTGAATAGATTAAGAAATTCAAATTTACTTTAAAATGTGGTGAAATAAATGAGAAAAAGAAAAGCTGCATGTCCAACGTGAAGGTGAGAGCAGGTGTGATGGTTCAGGACCAAAGCCACAAATCCAATCAGATTAACAGTAGACAGGGATTAACGAGACCAGCAGCCATGGACTGGATTAGAAACCATGATGTGCTTTGCATTACACCAAGAACAGACAGTTCCAGTCAGTAGTTTATTATATGACAGAGGTTCATCATGAATTTCTGTTAAACTGCAAGTAAAACATCTTTCCAAGGAAAGTTGATGTAAAAAAAAAAAAAGCTTCAGTGTTCTTTCACTGTACATCAGTAACAACGTGAAGCATCAAACTGTTCCTCTCTTTGACAGCTGAGCTTCTCTTATAAGTTAGTGTTTGCTACTTTGATAGGGGCGTTTTCTGCAACACAACATTTGACCATATGTATATATAACAGCAATATAATACATAAAATAGGTTGCAAAGTGTTTTCTGTAACAACATCCTCTCATTTAACAGCAGGAA